CACATCTCATCAAGCTTAGTGTATTCTCCAAACTACAGGGTGAGAGTCAAGATCCAACACTGCGGTCAGTAGCCAGGCCTGTGTCTCTGGAGGAAACATGTAATCCTAGTTGTTACATAAAGTTACTGGAGGAGCTGCAGTACAGCAAAAAAGGCACCCTGCAAAATGTCCTAAAGACAGATGAACCCATTCATCACAAATGTAGCAGAGTATTAGAAAAGACTAACAAATGACTGTTTTGAATTTTTAGCAAAATCAATTGAGATATGTCAAAATGGCAACACTATCAGTTTAGTTAATATACAGTGGCTAAAGACATCTATGAATCAACCAGTTTCAAAATGAGTACTGCATAATGCCAAGAATTTCAATCCTGTGCTTCTATGAAATTCTCCCTTTTACTGAACTATAAAGTTGGAAACATTTTTTCCCCTAAGGATGCTAGTTTACACGGTCTCAAACAATCCGAGTGAGGACCCAACTTTAATTTGTTTCTATTTTTGAATGCTTCTTTCTTGATGATTTAGAGGAAGAGTGGAAAAACAGTTGTTATTTCACACAAAGGGTTCAAATAGCCAGAGGACATGCTGGGCCCACACTGTGCATGTCATACCTTAATGCAATGTTTGTAATGAAAAATGCTTTCGACTCAGTGTCTCATCATTTCAGTAACCTCTAACATTACGCCTCAAGGAAGAATGTTTTCAGAACATATTTCTCTTTGTTTAACTGGAGGTCTTCCAACGTGGATCCTGTTCTTCAGTGTGAGGTTATGTTTTAAAAAAACTGCTTTAATTATCTGAATGAACATGTTGAATGGAAAGCTACACCTCTAGAAAAGGTGATTAAGAGTTTCTAACACAATATTAACATGTATTCACAGAAATGCAAGTACAGTTTCCAAAGCATGACACTCCTACATGACTATGGTCATGGTTTATCATCACTGGACTGAATCTGAAAATAATAAGAACACGCTGCACCAAACATTTATTTACTATTTGTTGGGCTCTTGACAGTTTTAAGTAACGATGCTCTAAATAATTCATTACTAGGGGTTAAAGAAATATCATAGAAATCCCTAAAGATCCAATTGTAACTGGGAAATTCTGCACTATCAGTGTTGGAAGTAGTGACACATTAACGTAGCAGAGTAAGTTTGGTGTGTCGGTGGGTGTGTAGCATATCAGGCAAGTGAAGTAAACTTTTTTTTAAGAACTGTAACCACACCTTTATGACAACGTGTAAAATCCCTCTCAGTGAAAATGAGCAGCACAACAAATAAAGCAGGAACTCCCTGCCACTGATCTGCCAGGGCTTTTGGTCATGTAATAAGATAAAAAACCTTGCATATGATGGAAGTCATCACACCCTTTGTAAAGTATTTTTGCAGCTAATGTATTTGCTATTTGGTGGTGCAGTCTGTCATTGTGACGGGCAGTGGGTGTAAAAATGTTGTAGAGTTTGATCCACTGTTGGCTGTACATCACAGAGGTCGCCATTTGTTTAACACCTCCAGTTTTCTATTGAACTGGCAGAACAGAAAACTTCCAAATGATATTTCTTCCCTGCAGAAATAAACAAGACCCCGTCATACATGTCATCTGAAAGATAGATTGTGATCTCTGTGCTTTCTTTCTAGTCAAAGAAACCTGCTTTGTTTCCTCTGCAAATGTGTGTGGCATTTTTAAACACATGAAAGAAAAATTGTGCGTCACATGACAAGGCTAAGGTGATTGTGCATGGGTGGCACAAACACTATCACTTCTACCAGATACTTGTTGTTAAAGTTGGAGGGCTCTGTGACAGATGTTTTCAAAAGTCAGAAAAAAATGTGTGTGTAAGATCATACTTTTTCATTTTATCTTAGAATTCCGGTTCTTTTGGTGCTCTGAGGATATGTCTGGCAAGGATTTCCTAATCTGGAAGGAGATTAGGAAATCATTAGAAATACAAACCAGCCACTTCAGCTGTGCTGTATTTGATATATGATGCCACATCTTTCCCTTCACCGATATTATTCTGGGAATTTCCTAGTCCACATAACAATCCGGTTTGGGAAAATCTATCCCCCCATCATTTGCACTTTCGTCACAATTCCGTTGAGAGGAGTTCAGAGGAACAAAGAGAGCTTTCATTTTATACAGAGGTTCCCAGCAGCCTCGGGTTATTGCTGGCCCATGTTGCGCCAAATCATATTTGAGTCGATCCACTGGAGGCCTAGTGCTTGCTTACAGCCTGAATTGAAAATCCCTTCATGTTGTATCACCCAACATTTGATTTGCTGTTTATAGATTACATGGGGGCTCCCAGCCTCAAGGAGGAGCATTTTTAACATTGTTTCATGAAAAGTGGTGTTTGCATAAGGTGGGAAATGTGATATAAACTCTCTTTAAAGAGAAAATAGCATGTATCTGATATCATCCAGGCAGCTGATAACTAAGACCTAGTGGATTGCTTTGTTTGGGCGATAATGTGATTATAAGGCTGGCATGAACCTATCTGAAAACAATTACTGTTTACAGACAGGACTGTCACAGCGAGTGTGTGAGTCAAAAGTGGATTTTAGAGATATTTGAGAATGCAGAGGAGGAAGAAAGTGGGTTGTTTGAGGAAGGAAAAACTAAAGAAAAAGACGAGAGTGTGAGACGAAGGAAAAGGGAGCGAGTGAGCAACAGGGAGCAGTGAAAGGCCGGTGTTCTTCTGCATCAGCTTTTTGGACAGCTGCCTGCTGGATGATAGGATTAAAGAGTATTTTAATATGACCTCTGTGCTCTGTTTTGATGTTAATATGCTACACACTCATCTGAACAAGGTCATTTTATAAAGAACATGCACTTTGTCAAATAACTTTCAACTAGTTAATATTTATTCAAAGTGGAGGTTGAATAGTTTTAGATTCACAAAACATGCACTTATCTGCTTACGGACCAATTTTACTGAAGCATACATACATTGTCATGCATTTTCATACAGACACTCTCAAAGCCATAACTCTGGTGTCAGATTTCTCTTTTCAAAAAACACATAAAGTACGATTCTGTTCACTGTGTGGTTGTCAGCTGCTGGAGAGAGCGGGAAACAAAAGAGCAATGCTCAAACTCAGCAGAGAGCATGGCAAAAGATAACAGCAAATCTGGGAAGACAGAGGTCTCTCTGTGTCAGTGCAAATAAAGTATTCAACACTGCTGGAATGAAAACAGAAACTGCAGAACAGAAGGACTCGTTCACAGTTTAAATGCATCAACAACAAAAGAAATTAAAAGACAATTGTATTGGTAAGTTTATTCCTGTCCCTGTTTCACTGTTTGTGGGTCTGTGCAGCGTCGCATCTCACTAAATGCTACACAGTACATGAGATCAAACATAAGATTGTAAATATCAAAACTGCACTCCTAGTATCTGGATCCAGTTATCTTTTAATTAATGGCACAATAACATAAAGATAGCATATACACACACACACACACACACACGCTGAGTGATGCAGCGTGTATGAGGAGCAGTCACCGTTATGTCATCTCATCTTATTCAAACTACTAAATCTCCAGCATACTTAATTTTCATTCATTAACCCTTGGATGAACGTATAATTGTATTTAATGTTACATATTAACTCTCCATCCACCTCCAGATGTTGTGTATACTTCCCATGCTGTCGACTGCGTTGTCTGAAAGTAATGACTTTTTAAACCCACACACATGCGCGCACACCCACATGGTCATATGGCTGAGTTAACTTGACAGATTGTCATCAGACTGCTGCAATGGGAACTCAAACAATACCCCCCAGCCCCACTCTCCACCCCTTCCTAAACACACACAGCAAAAGGAGGGTGTCATTGTGGGGGAGGCAGGTCTCGAGGTGGTGATGGAGACTAGACGAGCTCTGGGCACCAATCTGAACAGCAGGTAGCCAGAAAAAAACATAGCAACCGGGACTTTTGATATTAGCAGTAAAAGTGTCTGTGTATATGTGCGTTTACTCGCCGACATAAAGGATTGATTTCACAATTAAAATCATAAATGTTAGAAGTTTGAGAGCAGCTGCAAGTCTTTTATGTCAGAATATCTCAAAAATCACTGCTGCAGGAAGGTGGAACTAAAGCCTGCAATACATGTCTTATTCAAATCAAGTCCTTCAGCTGACTATGAAAGAACTCGCAGAAAGAGATGAATCATAAGAAAGTTCAAATTTTTTGTCTGAAAAAAATGGAGCTAAAAGGTCATTTTTCTCTAAAGAAGATGGATTCACAGTACATCACAAAACATTTAACTAAAAGTTGCTGTGACTTTCACTTTCTTTTATTTGATGAATTATGCACCACTATCCTTTGAAAGAAGCATTTATAGTTTTATGAATTTTTGGACTTTGGTTATTTTTATTGTCAAATTACCAAGTATAAAATCAGTGAAACCCTGTTTCCCAGCATTCAGTCAGTTTTAATTCCAGTGGTTTAAAATTGCTTTTATCTTATAGGTTAAAATCTAAGATTTAAGAATTTGACCAAGTGGTTATTTCTCATTTAGCTAATTTGTTATTGGAGTCAACCCAGTAGTAGTTTGTTTTGGATAACATTGCCTCACACCTGTGTACCGAGGCATCAGAGCCATCTACATACACTGCATCTGGTGTTATTCTCTTCTAATGTCACAGTAAGTTACTGCCAGTGAATAAGGTTAGACAGAGTGATGTGCTTGTGTGCTTGACTGGTGATGTTCTCCCCAGTTCAAGCACTTAGGGGTGGAACTCATCAAAACAAGAGGGAGGCTGTCCACAAACCTGAGGCTTGACGGCTTAAGCTCTAGCTCTTCCTGTCCATATAATCAAGTGTCGTTGATTACAACACTAAGCATCTATCTTTCTGCCACTTAGAGCTGTTAAAGTTTGAAACATTCTAAGGTTCTCGTTTCTTTATGTTTCTCTTTGTGGTTGTTGTCTATGATGGATTTAGGGGTTTGTTAGTATCCTTTTAATGTGTGCTCATGTTTTTCTTTAGGCGTTCGGGGGGCGTTGAGGTGATGCAGATCCCTCCGTCCTCCCAGTGTAGGAGACAGCGAAGGACGAGCAGCTTTGGCTGCTGAATGCTCCCCCCCTCCGTCACCACCACCACCACCACCACCACCCGCATTCTTCCCCTGCTCCCTCCATCTCTGATGGCTCTATGGGGTGTCTTCAGCCTCAGCCTTCACTGCTGGGTGTGTTTACGATCTGCAGTAACAGCAGCAGCAGCAGCAGAAGTCAGCCTAGCCTGGGGGCCCCCCGGACTGGCTCCTGTCTGATAAGGGGCCCTTCCACCACTCCCCAGAGTACATCGACTTTGTGGAGAAAAACCGGCAAGGCTTTTCCACCAGATACAAGATATACAGGTGAGTCATGACAGGAGGATGAAGAGGCACTTTAGCCCATATTTACTGCTGCTATATCACAACTTCTATTATATGCATGACAGATCTCCCAGGAGCAACTTCAAGCACTCTCCAAGGTTGTCCTTTGAAAGATCAGCTGTGTGCGCAAAAAAGGGCCATATACAGTAAATAATATAATTATGTTTGTGTTTACATATTTAGAGTAGTACGACTCAAAGTCAGAGTATTTTGTCCTTAGCCACAAGCAGCTCTCTAAAAGAGCTTTGTATTAAAACCCGTAGGCTGGGGTGTAACATGTGAGGTTACCTAGGCACAACATGAAAAAGGAGGCTTCTCTCTTCGCAGCACCCAGGAATGATCAGCTATAAGAGATTTAGGTTATTTTAATTTCGAAAACTGGCTGAGGGAAAGATGCAGTTGCCATCTCTTCAGGGTGGGGCCAACTAAAATAACAAACAAAACCAAATAATTTAATGCATGGTTTTAACCTGACCACAAAAAAATAAATAAATAAAATTAAATTAAAAAAGCCACAACCATCCGCAATGTTATGACCAACTGCCTAATGTCATGTACACAGGAGTCAGCAGTTGGTTGGTACTCGTGTCACTCTGCAGCTCGCTGTACATCTTCTGTGAATCCATTTGCTCCTATAGTTCTGTCAGCAAGAGCGTGAATTTGTCTACCAATTAGTGATAAAAATATGTAGAAGGAGTGAAAACTGTGGCTGTGAGGACAAGTTAAGAAATATTTTTAGACAACAGTCAACAGCCTCCCCACTCTAGGTGCAACTTCACCACTACAGCCACTGAATGTTTCTCTTCAGACACCAGTGAACAATATGTGATTTTCACCTATTTTAATCTTTTGAAAAGTTTCATCTAAATTAGATCAGCATCATCAGTGAGCCGTGGGTATCCATGATCCTGTCGCCGATTCATCGTTTGTCCTTCCTTAGATCACTGTTGGTAGCTACTAACCACTGCAGACCAAGAACACCCACCAAGACCTGCAGTGTGGGAGATGCTCTGACTAAGTCATCTCACCATCACAGTTTGGCCCTTGTCAAAGTCACTCAGATCCTTACACGTTCCCTTTGTTCCCTGCTTCTAACAGATCAACTTCAAGGACTGAATGTTCATCACATTCCTAATATACCCCACACACTGACAGGTGCCACTGTAACAAATAGTCAGTGTTATTCACTTCACCTGCCAGTGGTCATAATGTTATGGCTGATGGTTGTAAAGCTGAACTGAGCTCCTAAACATGAAAAAGATATGAAACAAAAAGACTAACTCCAGCCCATGAAAATAGCTAATTAAAATATGTACAACTGGACAGGAGAAACTGGAAACCATTCAACATGCTGGCCACTGAGCCTGGAAGCTGTGGAAACCAGAGCCCCAGACAAGCTGGCGGGAAGTCTGCTTTTACACTTCCATGCCCAGAGCAGCAACCAATCAACACCCAAGAAACATACACACCCACACACTCCAACCACATGCATAATGTTCTCCACCTGTGGTCTGATTGAGAGGTTACACAGACACACAGGCTCACACACACACACACACACACACACACACACACACACACACACACACAGGATGACAGATCAAACAACAGCCTACATAAAAATTTCAGGAACTTTAAGGCCTCTCAACATTTGCACTGCTCCTAACCTGGCCCTTATTAAAATGTTCCAGTGTAAATGGCACTGCTTGCAAGAAATGTACTGCAGGTAAATCAGGTGAAGGTGAATTCATTGAAAAGAATTAGGAATGAAGGGAATGAGCGATTGTCTGCTTTGGCTGAATTAACTTTCAGTACATCTGTTGTGATATGTTGATTATGGAACAGATTTTACTCAAGGCCATTGTATGGACACATTATTCAACACATGTCAGCTTATCTGAGCACTGCTCTGACAGTAGTGCTCACATCTCCAGCTGGAGACAGGCTTTATAGCAGTACATTTGCTTTTTCCTGCTTACTTTTTTATTGTATCATCACAATAAGATGTAAGGGAGAAAATGCAGCTACACATCTGATATTGGTGCACACAGTGGACTACTGCACCGCATATGCTTTATGCGTACGCTATTGGTTGACATGCAAAAAGAGTTAAGGTTAGCCAGTGTTTACAAGATATCTGGCACATGCCTAGACAAAATTATTACATATGTACCAGCAGGGGCGGCACAATGGTTCAGTTGTTAGCTCTGTTGCCTCACAGCAAGAAGGTCACAGCCGGCAAAGGCATTTCTAAGTGGAATTTGTATGTTTTCCCTGTGCCTGCGTGTGCTTTCTCCAGGTACTCTCCACAATCCAAAGACATGCAGGTTTGCTGGTGACTCTATTGCTTGTAGGTGTGAATGTGAGTGTGAATAGTTGTCTATCTCTATATGTTTCAGTCCTCGGATAGACTGGTGACCTGTCCTAGATGTAGGCCGCCTCTTGCTCACTGCTGAGTGGGATTGGCTCTACTCCACAGGATAAGTGGTATAGATAATGGATGGATGGATGCTGCTATCAGCTGGATGTACTATATATCACATTCTGCTGCTTTCCAGCCCCTTAAGGAGTCAAGTAGTCAACTGAGGGGAAGGAAGATGATTTGTCATGACAGCAACGTCGTCTGAGGTATCGGCATGCAACCGAATTAGTCGAGATTGTGTCATGAATCATATTCGTTGTAATTTAGGAGGGTGTTGTCCAGGCTTCTGGAAATAGACAGACAGGGTTCCTGACATCTATAGATTGGTGTAAGGATGTTTTATGGTTTTAGAGATCGGTTGCCACGTTAGAGCTTTTTTTTAATATTTCCTTCTCTGGCAAAAGGCAGCAGTCCATTGGAGCCAAGCTGCATGGGCAGCGAGATTAATAGTCTTATCATGTGGCCAAGTGATTAGTGAGCTCTTAGTCCTTATTACTCTGCATTATCACAGATTCCCCTGAGAGACTTCTGTCAGCTGTGAGGTTGTGTTTGAGGCCCTCTAGATTACCACAATGTGCCACTGATTACTTGTGATCATATTAAAAAGAAAAACTAACCTCAAAAGTAAAAAGCCTGTAAATCTTCCTAAATTAAATTCACTTGGACTCACTTGCTTTAGAAAGGGCCCTGATAAAACCCAGAGGGATGCAGCTATCAACGCTCTGTGCATCTATGACCATGCAAGAACTCAAATACTGTGAGCTGGTCAGTTGCTGTTTCTAGTTTTGCTTCCCGTATACCTACTTTTTCAGGCTTGGGCTCAGGTTTTTTTTCTTTGTGATCTGGTCATTGATCTGTTTTATGCAGCAAACTGCTCTATGTCAAAAACTGCCAGTATTATACTCCAGTATTAATTCTGACTGTGAGCACCTTTTATTTTTTGTTTTTAGTACATGCCAGGAAGTTACTGTTCTGGCTTTTATAGATCCCTGCTATGCTTAAGCTTTCTAGTTTTTTGGATAAGAGGCATGTAACCTCTGCAGAATCCAGGGCAGAATTGACTAAAAGTGACAGTATTATTTTCTGGGCTGGTCTTCTTCATATGCAATCTGGATCTCAGCTCAGTGCTCAATGACAGCAAAAGATGAATTACCAGAACTGATGCTTAGAGGTGCAGTGTTTGAGCTGCAGTAGCAGTGATGGAGTAATGAACTCACACCACGGTGTCCTTTTACTCAGTTCCCCACCTGTTTTACTGTCCGAATTTGAAAGAAATTTTAACAAATGCTCTGAAGGAAGTAAAAGAGGTTTTGTGTTTGCAGCTATGTGCACGTGCGTGAGCATACGTGTGTGTTTTGGGGATTCACTGGAGAGCATACCCATTGCTTCCAATACAAACACAATGTGGGTCTTCCGTCTTAGCCACCTGTCCACGGCAAACACTGCCAAGGGAAATCTGCCATATTCACCGGAGTGAAGGCAGGAGTGCTGACATGTATTTGGCCGAATTCTGAACATATTGCATTTGGATAATGCATGTGAATGTTTTGGCTAAGAATTCATAATAAATATAATTTAACTGTGAAAGATTCACTATGCTTATTAAATATTATTAAAACAGCCTGATCATTAGGCCACATACCAGTGAATAAATGTAGATACAAGAAATAATATAAACACAGTGGCACAAGACCTATTATACCCTATTATACCCAAGCACACAAGGGTGAGTATAGAAAACTAGTATAATGTTCTGGGTATGAGTAATCCCTAAAAAGGGACTACGTAAATGAGAAACATAATAAAGCAAAAGAACAGAAAAGAGAGACAAAGTGAGGAGCTTCTCTCATTAAATCACAGCCACCCTGAATGAGAGCTAAAATGCCTTTTGAAACAGGTAGGATCAATTGTCCCATGACACCGAAGCACAGTCAGTCAGGGAGGGAGCCCAGCAACAGAGGAACAAATCCCAGATGGGCGTCTACAGATACTAACTTGGATACCGAGAACTCGTTAGACAGGAGGGACCAGAGTGAAAAGGACATTGAACGTTTATCTCCTGACTGACCTCTTCTACGTAAGAACTAGGCCAGGGTTGTTTTCGAGTAGTAATTTTAGCTATCAAATAAATATAGTGAATTAAAATAATATAATTCCTTCAAATGTGTGTCATAAACGAAGTAGAACATATCATAAATATGTAGTGGAGTAGATACAGCAGCTAAATGCAGCACTAGTTAATGTACTGCAAATATAGTTGTGATGAATCAGTGAAGAAAATTTCAGAGAAAACTCAGTGATTCAAACCACTTGATGTTGATAGTGTCCTAAGAGTTAAACTGATGAAACTGATTTATATCAGAAAGGAGCAATGAAATTGATAATAATAATGACTTAGCTGCTTGTAGGGAGGATTGCAGCCCCAAATATCAA